GTGATGGCCTTAATTAGCTATCAAAAGTTGGCAAGCCGCCGCGAAGCTTCTGAGCTCAAGGCAAGCACCAGAGCTGAGACCTCATCCACATGCCAATGGGAAGCCCGATACCCAAATCCGAAATCCCGAAACGTGAAGCCAAAAACCGTGACCCTTTCATTGCCTCAACCCTAAACCCTAAACCCTAAACCCTAAACCCTTTCATTGACCCTGTCGCTGTCAGGCAGCCTTTGGTTCAAAGGTGGATCTAGCCTCAGCTCCCTGCGTTGGCGCAGTCAGCCTATGTGATGCTGATGTTCAATTGGCACCTATAACCTATGATGTTTGGTAATCACTATTGCACCTACACTTAGTATGAGCAGTTAAGATTTCTACTGCAAGTTGCGCTGCTACTGCGAAAGTAGCCAGTAACCGTTGATACTACAACTATCATGACTGTGATGGGCTGCAGGAGTCACAGTCTCGTCGGCACTTTTTGGTTCATCATAGCTCCAAGTATTGCGCCCTTCTGCCCTGCCCTGCCCTCCTACCCCGGGCGCCCTCCCCCCTCCCCTTCCTCCCTCTCTCTCCCTTCGTGGTTGCTGCTGTGCCATGCTTGGACGTGTTAAATGCACGGTGGGCACTCGTGTCGCTGCCAGGTTAGAGTCGTATCAGCAGGATTCTCGATTGCCCTTTTCAGCACCCTTCGTACGAATAGTGTCAATGGTTGAGTTTAACAATCGTGTTCCCATCCCTTTGGTCACACTGTGGCACAGAAGGTTTGTGCTAGCTCCAGAACCTCCCGACACCAGAAACGACTTGAGGCCACGATCACACGCACCTTCGAGGCCACCATGACGTTGAATTTCAATACTGACGCTGCGATCGTGGATGGTTGCTTTTGCGTTTATGCCTCGCTCAGGGTAGGTCCGTGGTAGGTCTGACACGCTGTGGTTTCATGCTGAAGGGCTCAGATCTTATATAGGACTGGTGAGGAGTGTGTTTTCTCTACATAGGAACGCCAGTGCAGCAGCAGCAACAACAACAACATATCTCCCGGTGGTGGCTATAGACATTTCAAAACCAGTCGGCTCTTGCCGTGCTTTTGTGCCAGGTGCTGTGATGGCTGTGAATCGAAAGTTCGGGTGCATGTCCGAGCATTTAAATCACGGTAACCACCTCGAAAGAACGTGCAGTGGAAGGACGTAGGGAGCAAGGTGCGGGATGTTTGGAATTCGAGGTGTAGTACCCCCTGCCCTGAACACTTTCAGCGTTCGTTAGTGCGCAACCACTTGGGACATTCTCCCTTTACAGTGAAATGAAAGTTCTGAAAATTTCTGAAATCGGACGATGTGAACTTTTGCCGTAAGCCAGACCATGCGACATACGCCATTGAGCCTTAGTTGCCGAATGCAGGCAGAGGCACGGGAATCGGGCACATTATCGCCCGGCCAGGCAACGCCTGCGTAGGGGTGAGTCATCCATCCCGAGTTTGCAATCCGCAATGCTCTTGCATGGTTTCGGGCGTATCAGTGCATCTGAAGCACATAGCTGGGAAGAGGCAGACTTAGGAAATCTACCGCAAAGGTGCAGTTGTCCACTCACAGCTGGCGAGTTGTCTGACACCCTGGCGGTTTGCAGGCGGATTTGGTTCAGACCCTCCTGACTGCTCAGAGGACTCAGCATCATGCCTTTGACATGCCTGCTGTGTGACTGGAGGTCGGAGTCTTAGAGTCTTAGACCACGAGTCCGCGGTATACTGTCCAAAGCAGGACGCCAAGCTCGTCATCAGAAACGTTGATCATTTTTCTAGCGAAGAAGGCCGGCCATTTGTGATCAGAGCAACCGTTGGCCTCCACCAGTACCACCACCAAGACCACCGCCGTCGCCGCACAAGATTTTGCTGCCCACACAACTTACAGTGAGGCCTCGAGGCTCGCATCTGTATATAGACTCGTGTCAGTTCAGCTAACCGTGGCAATTCAGTTTGTCATGCGCTCGCGGTGCCTGGCCACAGCTTTTCAGCACTGTACGCGCCTGTCGATCACAGTTTATGTTGGGGTTGGGTGGGTCATGGTGGGTCACGGCATGTTGAATGTCCAGCATCAGTCCTACCGCGCTGTTGTTTGCAGCTCACATATGGTCGCTAGTCAATTGGTTTGCTTGTTTTTTTGCCACCTCCCACGACAGATTGTAGTGTGGGCTTGAATGCGGTCGCAGGGTGAGTCATGACTGCAGAACCAGGGAGGGCTGCACCCCTTCTTGCAAGACCAAGACAGCACCCAGTTGTGGCACAAAGGCGGTCGATAATCTGGATCCTCGGTTCACTCTGTACGCCGCTATCAGGTCTGCAAGCAATATCGCCTGCGCCCGAGAAGTGAAAACCGGAGGATTCCAGCCAAGCTCTGGTGGAGGTAGCGGTGCCATGTCCGTGAAGCCAGCGTTGGAGAAACCATATGTGCTGTGAGCTGTACGCTAATGGTAGAGGTGACGAGAAAACGAAATCAGAATCTGTGAGTTTTTGCCGCTGTGCATTGCTGAGGTTGAAGAACCTCGCGTCTGCCACGCCATCCACACACAGCTCTTGGAGGCCTCGCTCTCAGTGTTGTCAGCTTCTTCACTTCATGGGCCTCTTGCGTAGCCAAGTCCGACAAGTCCAACTATCTATGTGTAGAGTCTGGCAACGATCTCCGCTTTGCGGGCAGTCAGCTATTGGACTGAAGATAACATTATCAACACTGCTACGTGCCTCACGGACACGGTGGCCTAAGAGTGGCTACCCCCGCTTGGGGACCACCTCAAAAGGCACCCCGACCCCATATGTGATCGAGTGCGACCTGAGCGCTACACCCCTGACTATCAGACTGGCGTCGCCAGTCCCCTACGCTAACCCTCTCATGACTACACTGCGAGGCGGGGACCCGAAAGTTGGCATTGCGCCCAGAGTTTCCAAACAGAAGTGAACGAAGCCCAAGGTTTGATGAAGAGCAGTTAAGCTTCGTGATCAAATTCGACATGCCAAGAGTGGTGGCGGACTACGTTCGCCGGGTCCGACAGCATACCTTGCTGTTAGCATGTACAACTAAAGCCACTTCGGTCGAGATCGGGTACATTATGCTATTTGTGTGAGTGAGGTTTCATGTCGAGACAGCGCACATGCAGGTCACCCGAGCCACCAGCTATGCGTTCACTTTTGTGGGCACTGCGACCTGGCAGGAGATCTCTGGGCTGAGAGTGTGGGATTGAGGGGCATTTTGGGGCGTGAGTCTCCACTGTTCGGCACGAGTGGCAGCCACTTCGTCCACACAGGAGCTGCGCTGGGCGGACAACTACCTCGTCCGCTTTGTCCACGCCACGGAGCTTCTATTAGAATCAGATTTTCAGCCATGGTAATTGAAGTGCGCCCACGATTACCTCCTCGGAGTACTCCAGGCGACAGAGCAGAACGTTGACCAGACCTTGCAGGCCTCGACACAAGTTTCCCTTTGCCGTTGCTCATCACAGCTTTTCGTGCAGGCAGCCATTGAAGGCCAACTGCGAGTGGCCTCGCTCTCAGTGTTGTCAGGATTTAGGGTTTAGGGTTTAGGGCTAAGTATGGGGCTCAGGTACGACCTAGCTGCTTCTAAGTATAGGACTCAGATACGA